AAGGATCATGTGACACTGAAGACTGGAGTAATGATGCTGAAAATTCAGCTTTGATCACAGGAATAAATTACACTTTACTGTATATTCACATAGAAAACAGATGATTTACACTGGAATAATATTTCACTGTTTTTACTGTATTTTTGATCATATAAATGCAGCCTTGCTGAGCAGAAGAGACTCTTTTAAAAACATAAAAAATCTGTAAGATCATTTTTGCATCTTTAAAGGTTTGATTTCGCTGTTGTTTTTCTTCCACCTTTAATTCTGAAAGCATCTCGTCAGCTTCAGGTGAAGCTTGTGGACGTTCTCATCCTTTACCCTGAAACTGATGCGGTCTGACGTCGCCAGGGGCTCCGCTTTCCCAGCATGCTTTGCACCGAACGGCATAAACAGGGCAAACCGTGACCGTCTGAAAGGCTCAACACACACACACGCTGAGAGACGTCGAGTGACTGAAACAACACAGCTTCACGATTTATTCTCTGAGAGAAAGAATATTGTTGTTTGACACAAGAGGACAGGAAATGATGGAGAAACAGGAAGTGACATGATGCGTTAGTTCAGTATTTATCCACTTGTTTCAATGCCAAGAGTCTACAGACAACCTTTACATTTAGTATTTTTAGTGAACATTTTCAGTGTCAAAGTTGTTTTTTCACCATTCAAAAGATGAGGGTTTTTTAAAGTCCCTGTAGTCAATAATTGTATCCCTTAAAACTCATCTCTGATCACCAAAATTACATTTTTAAAAGTTTTTCCTTGGAAAAAATGCCTTAAAATATCTTGAATGTAACTCGACACCCTCGCCTCATTTAGTATGCGTGGTTGTATGAATATGCAGATGAGCCCCGCCTCCACTCACTCACTCAGCTCACAGATCCACTGGTTGGCGATCACACGTTGATCTGATTGGTTACAAGGTCGTTTGTGACGTCAGAAACACCAGTCTCTTCTGCTCAAGTCTGCATTTATATGATAAAAATTACAGTAAAAACAGTGAAATATTATTATAATGTAAATCATCTGTTTTCTATGTGAATATACAGTAAAGTGTAATTTATTCCTGTGATTTTCAGCATCATTACTCCAGTCTTCAGTGTCACATGATCCTTCAGAAATCACTCTAATATGAGGATCTGATGCTCAGGACACATTTATGATTATTATCAGTGATGAAAACAGTCAAATTTCCGTGGAAACGGTCATACATTTTATTTTTCATGATTCTTTGATGAATAGAAAGTTCAAAAGAGTAGCATTTCATTGAAAAATAATCTTCTGTAACATTATAAATGTCTTTACTGTCACTTTTGAGGAATTTATGATGAACAAAAGTATTATTATTTTTAGCAGTAGTGTATATCACCATTAAACCCAGTCACTGACCCGCACTGAAGTGCACATGCTGATACTGGTTGAGTTTCCAGAACACACACACACACACACACACACACACACACACCTCATGTGTAACGAGCGATGGAAACGACTCCGGTTAATTAGCAGACATCAGTGTCTCTCTGAACTATCCTGCCAAACACTAATGTACTTCCTTGATCCCACGATTGCATGTCTCTGATCGCGAGGATCCCGATGAGATGAAGAACTTGCTCTCGGCATAAAACACTCACACACACTTTAACAACTTCCGTTTCAGCGAATGTGAAACATGCATTCCAGTTCGTTTTTATTCAGATTGATCGTTTCTATGAGTTTCAGCCCTGAGAGTCACGTTTGTTCTGTCTATTCATATCATTTTATTTATATTTTCTAGTTTGTGGCCTCAAGCATTAAATCCCAGTGAGATCCAGCTAACAGGGAACGTTCTGGGAAGATTCTCTCAATGTTTTTGAGTAAATATTTACCCTCTGGTGCTCTTCACGTGTGTCATCGCGACCGAACTTTACTTTTTTAATTTCAATGAAATTAATGTACTATATTTTGGTTTGATAATGTTTTTTATTTAATATATTGTATTTTTAGGGGATTTTATGGTGCTAAATTATATTTACGCTGTATTAATAATTTTTGAGCGTAGACCTGAAAATGAAATGTCCATCTTAAACTGTGGAGAATCTCGAACGCTTTAGAGCGACAGACTGAAGCTTGATTTTTCAAACACGACACTCGGCAGATTATTGCTGAAGTGAAAAAAGTAAAAAAAAAAAAAAGGTGAATTTTTGTTCGTAGAACGTAGAAAAGTGAATACGTTTATTGTTATGAAAAATGCACAAAAATACTATTTTCAATTTTTATATAAATATATATTTTCAAAAACACGTTTTACTCTAAAACTGCAAGACAACCAAAGCCATAAAGCTAAGCAAGTGTGTGTTCCGCATGTGAGCTGATCTCTCAGTAAAGGAGCGTTCAGGGAGAGTGTGTTCGGCTGCAGTTCCAAACGCTTCCACTAGAGGAAACTCTCCATTCATTTCCAATGCGGCATTTCTGACCGCGAGGAGCACAAGTGGGACTATTGTTCACAGCACCATTAAACCTGTTCAGATCATGCCCATGATTTATGTGTGTGTTCACACAGCAAGAGCCAAAACCTTTACCAAGTTTCATACCATTCCGATAAAGTAAAAAAAAAAAATGACTGCAGAGCACCAGAGGTTTTAAAAGTTATCTGGTCTTTAATAATGTTCTCAAAACATCAGCACAATACATCATTCATGGAATCCATTACCATTAACCCTATGTTGCCGTCTGGGATGTTTTTTCAGAAACGTTTTAGTTGGATGTTCATCTAACATTTTTATGTATTCATTTTTTTTGTAATGTTACAAGTTTCGGAATGTTCAAAGAACATTCAAAAGTAGCATTCCCGAAAAAATGAAATGGAATGTTCATGTCAAACATTTAAAATGATGATTATTATTGCTGCTCTTATCCATGCTAGGCTTCCCAGAACAGAACCACACCGCCAATCCAAACTGTGCGCTAATTGTCAATCGTATTTGACGATAGTGGTTCTGACAGAACTGGATGTTTTAAGACATTCACAAATAATGTGTTCGTAACTTAAAGGATTAGTTCACCTCAAAATGAAAATGTCCTGATAATTCACTCACCCCAATGCCATCCAAGATGTTCATGTCTTTCTTTCTTCAGTGGAAAGGAAATTAAGTTTTTTGAGGAAAACATTTCAGGATTTTTCTCCACACAATGGACTTTAACGGTCACCCCCCTTGACCGTTAAAGTCCACCCCCCAGGGGACACCCCCCTTTTTGAGCGTTGACGTGAAAATGCACTACCCAAACTTAAACGGTTGTAATTCATGAAGCCTTTGAACTAAAGACTTACGGTTAGTCTCTTTTAAAAGAAGACTCTTGGCAGATTATTACTGAAGTAGAATAAATTAATATAATTAAATTATTTAAAAGTTATTAAAGTTTAAGTTTATTGTTATGAAAATATATATTTTTATTTTATTAAAAATATATATAAATTAATATAGGTTTCAGCCTAAAAATGGCAGAAAGTCAAAGCTATATATCTAACCAAGTTGTGTTCCAAATTTGAAGTTGATATCACAAACACTGAAGTTCCCATGAGATTTTGTTTAGGCGTAGTACCAAAAATACCCACCGGGTGCCATTGCATTCCATTGAATTTAATTGTATGCATTCTGCCATACCAAATTAATACATTTCTATCCAAATATCACTTCTGTCACTAAATATGGAACCTTGAGACTCAGACCTTTCTGACAATATGTGTTTTGTCAAGATTAGAACATTTTTGATAATAAATTATGAAAGATGATGCCCAAAAGGGGAGGGGCCTAATACAAAAATATCGTTTCTATGGTAACGCAACGTCCAATTTCAAAACGGTTTTCACAGGATGAATTCTGAGTTCGTAAACTTTCAAATGATACCTAATTTATGATAACTACTAAAATATGTGATATAATAATAATAAAAAATTATATATATATATATATATATATATATATATAATATATATTATACTTTTTAGAGGACTTTTTACTTTACTTTTTAAAATATAATTGTATCTTTTTTTATTGACAAATACTAGATTATGTTTTATTATGAACTTTTAGCATTAAAAACCAAAGTTTCAATTATTAAAAGTGTGTGCGTCAACTTTTTGTGACAAAGGTCAGAAACTCCTGTAATGACGTCGATTTTTTGAGGCGCACTCTTGTCATAAATTCATATATTACTGTTTATACATAATTTGTAAGAAAAAAACAGCTCTAAAATATCTATTAAGGTCTTAGACCTTTCCAACGATATATATATATACACGAAAGGACCATTTTAAACAATAAACTGACTCAAAGACATAAATGTCATTCAACAACATACAATAAAATTTGAACGATCCTCCTTCTCCACGCTTGTAAGCAATGGGGCGGTGCTTCCGCCTACGTCCAGCGTTTGCAAAACATTCTTTGAACATATTTTGTAGGTTATTATAGTCGGTGAGCTTAATTATTCTGTTTTTTGAAAGTAAAACAAATTCATGAAGAGGGTTTACACAGTTTTTAAATAGTTTTTGTGTAAAGTGTCGGCCCAGATCCGGCCCGCGTTGAATCCACATGTACCAGATGTGGGCCGGATCTGGGCCGACACTATGTTGCTGTCTGGGAAATGTAACGAGACGAGCCTTTTAGATGTTTTCAGGCTTTTTCCCACCATTATAAATCCTCCAGACTTCTTCAAAACGTCAAGATCTTGAGAAACACCAATGTGTTCCTTCACTTACAGACAAAAGAACAGAAGAAAAATAGAAAACGAACCAGCTCAAACTGATAGCCAGATGTAATTTCCGCAGCCTAATGAATATTTAGCATGTTAAAGGAATACGAGTTAAACTCTATGGACAGCTTTCGGATGATAAAGTAGATTAGCTTCAACAGCTGAGCCGCATTAGTGTGTGATATTTGATAGTAAAAAAATAAGTGAGAATAAGTGAATGCAAATGATGCTAATCAGCATTACGCCACAAACGCTGACGATTGAGCTTAATTCATTATATTGTTTTTTTCTTTTTTTAAACGCACATAATGGACTGCTTCAGGATTGGGTTCGCATGTTCTTATCCGTGTGGAAAGTCCCTGAAGTTCCCCGTCGAAACAATCACTGTCCATCTCCGCTCGGGAAATGAGCTTTAAATCGTGAGGAAAAGGAAGGCCGGTTTTGACAGCCGACGTGCAAATATGAGGCGATGGAATCTCAATGAGGCTCGAAAAAGGGAAATGCATAAATAGATTAGAGTGAATGTGCCCAAGCAAATCTAATTATGAAGCCGCCGGATCTCCTGATTTAGGAGAGAGAGTGAGAGTGTGTGTGTGTGTGTGTGTGTGTGTGTGTGTGTGTGTGTGTGTGTGTGAGAGAGAGATAGTTTCAGATGATTCCACACTCTTTGGCATGTATTTGATGAGATTTGTGACGTAGACAAAGAACTAGAGTCTCAGATTTCCATGTAAATTGGATGAGCTTCTGCTGCAAGTTTGCATGAGGAATCGTTAACAGTCTGAGATGAACAATTCAGCTTTCATCAAACTCAGGGACTTCAGACTTTACCATCACTCATCCATTACTGACGGTAAGAGTATTCTAGTTCTACACTGTGAAAATGTCAAAATATGTTCATTTTTTTAAATTGATTTAACTCTTCAAAGTAAATTTCACTTATACTCTGTAAAGCCTAACCCTCAAAATAATTAATTGGTTTGAGTAGAGCCAACTCAAATTATACAAATTAGTTCCATCAAATTAACTTTTATGAGTATTTAGAACTTTCTTTTTCTTTTGAGTTCACAAAACCGACACATTTTAAGTAATTTAAATTGTTTCATTGTTTTGAGTTTTATGAACTTGTTTCTTTTAATTTAGACAAACTTAAATTTAATTTCCCAGCATGCTTTGCCATGCCACTCAAAAGGGGGAGTAAATGCTAAAATTAAGTGTTATACAATGTTTTTTTGTGCTAGAGTTTCTGTTATGTTGAGTTTTTGGGGGGTGTTTGGTTTGAGAACTGCTCATTTAGCACGTGCTATGCTAATGCTATCAAACCATTGTGCTACCAATTAGCAAAGTAGCATTTATTGAATTAGCTGGTTAGCAAGCCAAGCAAGCCAAAAGCCAAAGCAAGCTAAGTTTCCACTACTAAAGATATTTAAGTTGAGCTTACATGATAATCTTAAATTGTGTATGAATTAGCTTACTCAAATATTTTAAGTTAAGAGCAATTAAAATGTATGAGTCTAAAAAAAAATTACCTGCAAGTTCTGCTTACTTAAACGTTAAATTTCTTGATGAAACTGATTACCTCAAATTATTTGAGTTTTGCCAATTTAGCATTTAATTAACTAGCTTGTTATAGCTAGCTAAGTGTATTATAATAAAAATGTTCACATTGAGGTTACATGAAAATATGAAAAGTTAAATGTATGGATTAGTGTACTCAAACATTATATGTATAAATGATGTCTGGATATTTGTTTTTAATGACCCTACGACTTTCGATTAAACCCATCCAAATATATATTTTAAATATGAGGGAACAACAGAACACATGGTTAAGGTATTCATGAGACTAAATTTTTTGACAAAAAAAAGGCAATATTGGACAAAAAAAGGAAATATGAACTGACTCATTTTTAGAGTCCGTGTGACAATTACAATTCGTTCTACAATAATTAAATGGCATTAACTCAAGTGTAGTTCACATTGCTCACGGGCTTTATGAACGACTCTACTGGACATGCATAATTAATACAGTCCAGCATCTTAATAGGTCATGCAATTAAAATGATATTCATAGTGGCCTGTCGTAATTATTCAAGCATATTATAAACGGTCATGGAGATTATTAATGTTCACGCTGACTGACTTTATCCAGCCAATGGAAAATGCTGGTTTTCTATGTGAATATACAGTAAAGTGTAATTTATTCCTGTGATCAAAGCTGTATTTTCAGCATCATTACTCCAGTCTTCAGTGTCACATGATCCTTCAGAAATCACTCTAATATGAGGATCTGATGCTCAAGACACATTTATGATTATTATCAGTGATGAAAACAGTTATGTAAATTGTTTTGTGGGGGGGGGGGCTTCTTCGATGAATAGAAAATTCAAAAGAACAGAATTTCTCTCAAAATAGAATATTTTGTAACATTAAACAATAACGTTCAAAAGTTTAGGGTCAGTAAGAATTTTTATTTTATTTTTGGTGGAAAGAAATAAAAGAAATCAATACTTTTATTCATCAAGTAAAGACATTTATAATGTTACAAACGATTATGATTAACGAAATGCTGTTCTTTTTAACTTTCTATTCATCAAAGAATCCTGAAAATAAAGTAAATAACTGTTTTCAACACTGATAATAATCATAACTGTTTCTTGAGCATCAGATCCTAATATTAGAGTGATTTCTGAAGGATCATGTGACACTGAAGACTGGAGTAATGATGCTGAAAATACAGCTTTGATCACATGATAAATTACATTTTAAAATATATTAAAATAGAAAACAGTTATTTCAAATTGTCATAATATTTAACAATATTACTGTTTTTTTGTTTGTTTTTTTAATCAAATAAATAAAGCCTTGGTGAGCAGAAGAGACTTAAAAATCATTAAAAATCGTACCGATCCAAAACTTTCGGCTGTAAAACGTAAGTGAAATGACCTGAAATAATGATCAGTTGTAGAGTTTAGAGACATTATATAGAAATATCTCCATCAAGAATCCCAGAGAATCATAATTTGAGGCCCGTGTCATAAAAACAGTCTCTGGTTTCTTTCCAGGCGACAGAGAATCATGTACGTTTTGGAGGACAAGAACCATCACAAACACACATTAGCTTTGGCTTTTCAAGGACGTGATGTATAATTCATTTTGGAGAGAGGAAAGGGAAGGTGTGGATGAAACATTTATTTCTTTTCTGCTCCCATAAACAGGCCTTTTAGCGTTTCAGACGCCAACGTGTGTGAGGAGGATCCAGACGAGATTTAAATCAGCAAACCGACGTGACTAAAGTCTGGATTCATTCTTCACATTCAACCCTCAAATCAGAAGAAGAAAACAATATTATATTATGTAAAAAAAAAAAAAAAAAAAAACTTGATTATGCAAATTATTTCATGACAATTAAACACATTTTTCACTCCACATCACAATATTTAAATTTTTGAATGAGTCGTAAAATGGTTTCGTTCACTGACATTGTTTTGTAATTTGTTGATTTACTCAAAGCTTGACACATTGTTGCACTATTAATAAAACTGCTGTAATAGAACATCACAAAGCAAGCTATTAAAAGTCACAACAAAAAAATAGAAATAACAGGACATGTCTGCTGCTTAATTTATTCAGAACGGGGAGTTTTGTACTGATGCATTGCAGCATGAAGGTTTTTGTAGATTGTCACTCATGTTGAGATTAATATGTTGATTGTTGGTGTCTTAATGATACAGTGGTTCAAAATGAATGCCACAACATGGTTATGATCTGTTACTTCAGATGAGATCAGTGAATAAGGTCACTTCATTAAGATTTCATCATTAGTTAGTTATTAAACATCACCTGATCACATTTTATCCTGACTTTCTGAGCAACAGCGAATGTGTTTTACAGCAGCCAAAGGAGACAGAAACAAAAAGTCAAGGTTCAAGACCCCAACTAAAGCACACACTGATCACCATAAAGGTGACTCCCAACTAAAGCAAACACTAATTACCATAATGGTGACTTCCAACCAAAGCAATCGCTGATCACCATAAAGGTGACTCCCAATTAAATCAAACACTGATCACCATAATGGTGACTCCCAATTACAGTAAATCAATCACTGATCACCATAATGGTGACTCCCAATTACAGTAAATCAATCACTGATCAACATAAAGGTGACTTCAAACCAAATCAAACACTGATCACCATAAAGGGGACTTCCAACCAAAACTTTTGAGTTGTGATGATTAAAAGTACATATCCAGACAGCAACATAGTGGATTGGGCCCACATCTGGTACACCTGAAATTAATTTATCTTTGGTTTATGGTGAAAGTAAGTTTTAACCCTCTGGTTATCTTCGGGGTCTTTTTGACCCGCAAATGACTTTTGGTGAATTTTAAAAAAATGTTCTCTTTGTCCAAATGGTATGAAAACGTATACGCCTCTTAACACTGTCTAGATCTACCAAAAAATATATATATATTGGAATGATATCTGTTTTTATGTTAGCGTGAAAAAAATGCCAGCACTTGTTATCTTCGGGGTCCCTGGAGACCCCGCATAGTAAATATACAAAATTCATCATCAAAATCAGAAACAACGATGAAACAACGCAGATCACATAGACAGAAATAAAGTGGCACACTTCCAACAATGCAAAAAAAAAAAATCCACAATGCACACACACACATACACACACACACACACAGTAATACATTTGTAAGGCTATACTATGCATACTGCCTGCAGTGCACTGACGCATAAACACCTGCAGTGCACTGTAAACGAGACTGTATGTGATGACCACCAATTATTGTTCCAAGTTGTTCGATTTTTTCCCCATTCACTGTTTTTTTTACTAAATGTTATTTTTTTACTGCTTTATTTGCTCATTTGTTATTGCTGTTCAGTTCATTGCATTTTGATGTTCATGTCATGTATTTTTACTCAATATGTAATATAACTGTTCATTTCTGTAATTTTTTGTTCTGTTACAGTTGTAGAATTGTAGAATTAAAATTGTAGAATTATATTAAAAACAGATGATTGAAATAAATTATAAAATCTAAAGACTCCAACATTTGGAGTCTTGTTCAGGTTTGATTCTAATCATAATGTAACATTATTGAAAAACTTTTGTCTGTACAAAAAATGCTAAACTTTGACAAAAAGTTTTTTTTGTGTGTTATAATTGTGATCTTATAATATTTAGATATGAATCCAACTGGAAAAACTTGTGAAAAGATATGTAGTTTGGTTAATCACATAGCAAATAGCTTATAGTGGAGGTCTGTGGCCATCTAGTGGTTAAAGTGAGTTTTTTTTTTTTTTAAACTGCATTTTCCAAAAAAATGGGCAAAAATCTTACATTAAATAATTTAAAATGATCAATGTTATCCCCATAAATGAAAGTTAGAAATCTGGGTCTTTTATAAAGTAAATTTGACATAAAATGCTGTTTTTTGTAAAAAAAAAAAAAGCCTATTTAAATAAATAAATATTTATTTATTTATAGAAATTTAAAATATATAAAAAATCCTCCAAAAACTGCACAAATGTTGAGTAAAAACATTAATAAACAGACTAAAATTACATTTGTAAAAAAAAAATATATATTATTCTGTTACAAAATTAAATGTTATTGTCTGGGGTCCCTGGAGACCCCAAAGATAATGAGTGTAGACACAAATGAAGATAATCAGAGGGTTAAAAAGCTGAAAATGTATTTTATCGACACATTCTAGCTTATGTATAAAGAAAAGGTATTGATGTGCCTTTAAATCGTCTTTTTACTTTGTATGATTGAATTTCTCTTTGTCAAAATAAATTATTTTGATTCATTTTAAATTAAAATGTGAGGTTTGAACCAAACGACGTATGTAATTTAAGGGGGAAATGACCAAATGTGTGTGTAAGTTGGTCCACGTGATGTTTTCAGTGAAGATGCTGGTTTCTGCAACTCTTTTCTCCACGGAGATTTCTTTGAGGCCTGTGGTTATGATGAACTCAAGCCTAATCCCACATCAGAGAGTCGAGCCAATCCATCCAAACACCCACGGGGAAGGAGAAGTCCCCAGTATATGAAGGAATCAGATAATCTGAAGAGTGAGGATGACCGGCACCCGAGGGCCCTTAATAGACGTCACCCGGCAGACTCGTCCTAATAACACCATTATTTATGTCTTCATGTCGAGTATGATTGATTGATTGATTACTTTATTATCCTCATGTGGAAATTTTTGTTGCTTGTGTTTCAACATGCGTACACACAAAGAACCAACAATGGACATAAATATTTAAAAAAATTCCCCTATATTTTTAAAAAAACGCTGGCATCCTAAATCTCCAACCCGATGGTAATCTCTCAAATTTATTAAACAGAGGATGCCTATTATGGGTATGAGTTTACCATGTTAACGGCTAGATATGTTCAAGTTCATTATCATGACAGGTGTTAAATAATTGCGTGCTAATAATCTCATTGCTATGGAAGCAACATAAGAAAGAAAATGACATACAAAGTCATATTTATGAGATAAAAAAGTTGAAATTACGACATACTAAGTCAAAAATAAGATCTAAATCGAAATGATGACAAAAAGCCAAAAGGATAACATAAAAAAATTGTAATTATGACATAAGTTGTTATAATTATGAATAAAAAAAAACAAACAAATTAGGACAGACTGTCAATTGTGAAATTCAGAATTATGCCATAAACAGTCATAATGATGACATAAAACACAAAAAAATGATTTCACATTTTGACATGTGAAAATACATGACATGTATGTTCACATACATATTATGAAGACATATGTCAACATTATGACATGAGATGAAAAGCCAAAATTGAAATTATGACGTCATGATTATGTCATAAAAAGTCAGAATTGAAATACAAAAATTGACAAAAAGTCACATTTCGAACAAATTATGAGATCAAAAGTTGAATTTACGATATACTAAGTCATAGTTATGAGAGGAAGTCAAAATTATGACATAAATCAAATTAATGACAAAAAGCCAAAAGGATAACATAAGAAATTGTAATTATGACATAAGAAGTTATAAGAAGTTATTTGACATTAAAAAAAAATCCAAATTATGACATACTCTCAAATTTGGAAATTCAAAATTATGCCATAAATGGTCATAATAATGATGACATATGAGATGAAAAGTCAAAATTATGATTTGTCACGAAATGTACTCGTACTTATGACATAAGACATTTTTTTCAATCTAAATTTTATGACTTAGCGTGTCAAAATTATGACTTACTAGCCTATGTCACAATTTATCCCATAATTTAGATTTAACTTATAGTTATAATAATTATGATTTTTTTAATGTCATTATTACGATTTTTCCGGAGCATGATTTTATGTTCTAATATGGCAGAAATAGGCTTCCATAAACTGCAGTTTGATGAACAGCTGAAGTTCACAGTCGGTCAGATTAATGGTCTATTTGAGATTACTTTTGTACATTTTTATATGTTTTGTCTCGGCTGCGTCTAATGCAAATCTTGCAGAAAGAACAGACAGTGGAAACTGCAGATAGAGGTGCATCTGAAGCAATAGTTCACCCAGAAATAATAAACCAGATATGTCAAATCTTATTTATGGAAATGCGTGTTCAAAAATAAAGTGGTTTGAAGTGTCACATTATTGATTTGAAAAACGAGATTTCAGATTTTAAATAGAAGTGTTTCTCACACAAAGCAAAAGCTTCACATCATTCTGTTATTTTACTGTTTATTACGGTGAAGCTGCTTTTAAACAATCTGTATTGTAATAAAGCGCTATAGAAATAATAAATCTGACTTGATCTTTTTAAAGATTACGGCGTCAGTTCACTTTTTTTTGTTTTACAAAAAAAAAAAACACGAAACCTGCATGGCTTCGAGTGACATGAAAGCGAGTAAATAACGACTGACTTGTTTCTGGATGAACTAGACTTTAGAAAAACTGTTCTTCTAAAAATAATGTTTTGTTGGACTGATTCCTGAGCTAATGACTGCATGTGTTTGAGTCTTCAACTGCTCTAATTTCTGGGACTTTTTTGGAGCAAAATGAACAGGATCCCGTTGGGAAACACACAGAGGCTCGCCGAGGACTAATGTTGTCTTTTGCTTCTATTATTGCACACAAATGAAAGTGATATTTCATAGTCAGAGTTGTTTTCTCTTCGCCGTGCTCCAGTTCATTCTGCAAACACCGAAACAGAACA